ACGATATGGTCGAGTGGTTGGGCACACGATTGCTAAGCCACTCGACACGGGTTCAAGGCACGTGTTTTTTACGAGTTGTCTTCGTTTACCCAAAAAAAAAAAGTGAATGCGAAAAGATAAAATCGATAGCAAGATTTTAATGCAAACAAACAGACAAAGACTAAAAAGTAGAAAATAATTATCATTAAAAAAGTTTTAAAAAACCCACGTTTTCTGATTGAACTAAAAAGTAGAAAGTAAATACTATACATCACAATAATGCAAGCGATCACTCTACTATAAGCGATGAAAAACGTGGGGCGTCGTGATTTTCTTACAGTTTCTAATACTGTCGACTCTCTACAAGCTCCATATCTAATCAATAGTAATATAACTTTTACTTCGGCGCCCCACGTTTTTCATCGCTTATAGTAGAGTGATCGCTTGCATTATTGTGATGTATAGCGTTTATTTTCTACTTTTTAGTTCAATCAGAAAACGTGGGTTTTTTTAAACTTTTTTTAATGATAATTATTTTCGTGTTTAAACCCATACGTAGTTACCAAAAATAGAACAGGCTAGGTATTTTAAGTAACATTTTTTTCGAAAGTAATGGTACTCTCCAAACAATTTGATGACCAATATTTTGTTTTCTGTAGGCTTTCAGTTTACATTAGATCAATATTCAAATTGCAAGAGCAGGATAATTACACCCCCCCCCTCCCCGCATGAATTGAAGTAGGACATAACACCTAATTTTTCTATCGGTTAAAGACTTACCCTAAACTTAATCGGATAGTAAAACTAGCCGTAAACGTATGCTCTTTTGCTAGGTTTGTAATTGCATTTTTCTGAAGGGTCCTTCAACATAGATTAAAAATTAATTGTTAACAGTCAGTGTTAACACTGACTGTTAACATTGAGTGTCAGCTTGCTTTTCTTTCTAAATTTGCTTCCATAGCCTATGTCCACCCGAAAGCAATATGCAATGCAGCAGTTTCTTAAATATTATATTGAAGTTTTCTCTCGTAGATGGGTTGCTGTCCCCAGCTAACGAGCCTCAACTGCCCGAGGTCTAAAAAATGTGTGTTCGGGTATAGGAAAGGAATCGAGATCGATTTATATCGTACTCTGTTGGACCGTGTTTCTCACTTTGCCGGTAACATGTAGACCTCTGCTAGATATTCTAGAACGGGGATTTATCATGTGGTGGTGGAGGGAATTGACAGGTCGGTTATCTACTGGTGCTATTTGATCTGAGGGTAGTTATGATTGGGGGGGGGGTATAGTTAATGAAGTGGGGTCAATAGCCCAGGGCAGTGGGGTAATGTCCTAGAGTGTCCTAGACCCTCAGATATAACCATGCGATTTACTGGACGTATTTAATATCAAAGAAATGATGGTGTAATTTTTTGTTATACTGTGTTCTACGGGGCGAGGGTAGTATAAAGCAGTAGAAACACTCGGTTTCTTTTTCTTTATGATTATTTTAATTTTTTTTTTTTGATTAGATGAAAAGTGTGATTCTCCAGGCTAAGTATTTTATAACGTAAACTAATTCTATACCATTGTTTTAATTAAAGATGTATCTATTCATGTGTTCTAAAAGATTGTTATTTCCTTCATTTAAAAAAAATCTGAGTTTGTATAGGTCAAAGGTTGTGTCGTCACATTAAAAGGGGTTGAACACTTTGTTATATTAGACGTGGTGTTTTCAAATGTTCTATAACACTATATAGGGTAGTGTGGGTCAATAACGCCACAAATGTGTGTGATACACGTGCACAATTCCTGATGATAAATGAACAAATGTATGTAGATTTGATCAAGGGAGACATATGACTTTAATGATGACGCATTACGTGACTTGCGTGTATTGAAGGAGAGGGGAGGAGGCATCATTAATGATACAATTACGTAACAGACGCATATAAACTGACATCAGCTTAGGCACGTGATCTATTCTTGCAATCTAACGGTCATTTTTCTAATAGCTGCAGCTTTATATATCGCTGGGAATACCCTGTGAGACTTTAGACGCGACCGCTACAGTAATAGCAGCCCCCTGTTAAAATAAGGAGCTAGCGTAGATCTGTGCTGCGGCTAAGCGGATTTGGGGGGGGGGGGGGGCCATGGGGGAGAAAAGGCAGACAAGAATAATTCCATAGTTGGTTCCTAGGGGTCGGAGTGCTAAACCGAAAAGTCTCGAGTTCGAACCCCCGGGCAGATGGGGCTCAATAGCTGGGGACAGCCACTCTTCTAGGAGAGGCAACTCCAAAATCAAACAACTGCTGCCTTGTAGTTTGTTCTTGGTTGGACAAAGGCTATGGAAGCAAATCCAAAAAGAAAAGCATAACCAGTTGACACGTATCCTTAAATGTGCTGGAGGGGATCCCTTCCAACACTAAAATTAAGAACGAGAAGAAGAAGAAGAAGGTTCCTACATGAAAAAAAAAATGTTCAATTCTTTTAAAAATAAAAAGTTTTATCAAATGAGATTGTTTTGGGTCGCGTTACCTCACAAACGATTTAAAGGTTTACGAAGAATTAACGATACTATGAGTTTACAAAACTGACATACCATGTCGATTCTAACACAAAATACCGAGTAATGTTTTAAACAAGAAATGTTGAAACATGCTTCCCCTCAACAAATTCTATTCCTCTGATATTAGGAGCGTTAAAATAAAATGTACTGTCAGAAACGATAGCGGTAAAAAAAGAACACCCTGTCAGACCCAGTTACGTTGAAGGGTGAAAAAAATTCCAATCCCCCCTCCAGTCCCACCCCACCCCCACCACCACCCCCACCCCACCCCACCCCCACCACCTCCCCATTCCTACCCTCTGCCCGTTGAGGACAATATGTTGCTAATTAATGACGTGATTAGGCCGTGATCGGCATCTGAAAATAATTCCACAGAGAACATTTTTTTTTAGCTTGCAGCGCTTTAAAAAATCTGGCAAGAGTTTTAAAAAAAAAAGTTTTTAAAAATGGCCTTGATGGGATGGATGGATCTCGACTTGGATTGCCCGCTTGAACGTGGGTCGTGGGCCTTGTTGGTTGGGGGGGGGGGGTGTCGAGTAAATAAATTAATTGGTTTGTACTGTATGCTATATATGGGATAAAATGAAAATAATCTACACGATTGTGGAGGTATATGCGTTTTTGGTGAACTGGATGAATTACTGTATGATGTCTAAGGTGGGTGGAGGTGGGTGTGGTGGTAATGGTGGTGGTGGTAGTGGGGGGCTGTGGTTGGTGGAGTTGTGGGTGGTGGTAGTGACGTGAGTGGTGATGGGTGTAGGTGGTGGTAAGTGGTGGTAATTGGTGAGTATTGTTGTGTGTGGTGGTAAATGGTGAGTATTGTTGTGTGTGGTGGTAAATGGTGAGTATGGTAGTGTGTGATGGCGTTGTGGATAGCAGTGGAGGTTGGTGGGAGTGTTGGGAAGAGTAAGGGGTGGGGGGGGGGGGAGTGGTGTTTGGGGCAAAATGACAATCCTAGGAATGTTTTTGTTTTCGCTTGTTTTCTTTTCCCTGCTTGGGATTACGTTTTAGACGAGTGTTTGGGTGTGTACATCGGTGTAATCGTCGAGTACTGTCCTAGACTTTTGTCATTGATGCGTAACTTAGAATCTTTCAACCTGCAAATAAATGTTTAACTTTGCGCGAAATTACGCACTTCTAGACCAATCTACAAATGTGTTTACCATGTACGACTTTGTTAGCAGATGTACGTATCTGTTTACTATACACGAATTAATTACCAAATTTACGAATTTCTATACATAGCTATGTCTTGGTTTAAAAATCTACGAAACCAAACGAAAACCCGATTTCGTTAATAAATCTATGCGTCTGTTAACAAATCAACAAATGTGTAAAGACAGCTATGAGTTTGCACCGTGGCCACTCGCATGCATGTCCAGTCCGACACTTTGATCCGAATTTTACAAAGGAATACATTCGCCACACGGACATTCAGTCGCCAGGGAACGCTAATTCCTGAATGGCTGATTTTGTCACGTGATTGACGTGAGGTTTAAGTTCACGTCCTCGACATTGTACGTGGAAGGACACAAGTTTTTGTGGAGAACTGCTTGAATTGAGAATCGTCTAGTCGTTGTCTATTTGTCTATTCTTCATACGACAGCAGCTCTTTAAAACAGAAAGAGGCGAGCTTCAGTGTTTCTTCCAGACTTTTTTCTCCGAGGGTGCACCTGAAATTTTCAAGGGGGCGGACTAAAATTTCCGGGGGGGGGGGGGGGGGGCGGACAGTGTTAAAAGTATATATTTTCTATATAAATTCCATTTCGTTCGGGGGGGGGGGGGGACGGTAGACTTTCTGTGGGGGAAGATGCCTGGAAGAAACTCTGACGAGCTTAAAGATATAAAATTATTTAGTTTTACCTACGTTATTTCAATTTCAGTATTTAGTATGTACAGGCTAAATATATCTATAATATGAAACTTAATACCTACATGCAGAATAACATGAAAACGTTGTTCACTGTTATTTAAGCAAAGAAAAAAATCGACCATTTATACTGACAGATTTGTACTGACAATAAATTCGTTTATGCTAATTGAAAATATGAAATAAACATTGCTCGAACTTCGACAACAAATTCGTTAAATAACTGTGGTTCATTGGTAGCTTAGGAAACTATGTTAATTTTTAATTTTTCAATTACTTAATCAATATTCAGTTTCCAGCTGTCATACATTTACATCTAGTTAAACTGTGGTAGCCCTAAAGGTAGCCAAACTTGGCCACCATGTGGCTATTTACAAACATTGCGCTACAAACAATATGCTACAATCATTGTGCTACTTCATGCACGAAGAGTTCACCCATGACAATACAAACGTCAACATGCTAAAACTACGCGCCGTTGTGCCTAATTACTGTTATTTCCCTGCAGTATTTATGCACATTATTGTTTGCATGTTGTCTGTGTTTCATTAATTCTAATGATTGTCAATGCTTGTCAATGATTGTAATGATTGTTGCCCCCAGCCAACAACAGTCCACAGGACAACGGATGTTGCGCCATCATCCTGACAGTGCTGGCCTACATCCTGGTCATCGTGTTCTTCCCCTTCTCTCTCTGTGCGACCATCAAGGTAAGCCACGGGCTAAATGAGAACCGGTTTGTTTTGATGGAGAGTTGCCGCCCTTTTTTAATGAGGTCGGGGTTATCTCCCTTGGTTTGTGAGGGATGAGTTATCTGTTCGAAGACTAAACGAGTTGTGGTTCTTGTTTCGTGATTTTACTAGCGTCAAATTGTTGAACGTAAAATTTGTTGTTTGAACTACCTCCATTTTTCTGTGTTGTTTTTTTTTCAGTAGTCTGTAGTCATGTAGTCATGGTGACATTCTGTATTCAGTGGAAACAACGAACGATAAAATAATTAGTATCCAATGGCCTCTAAAACAAAACGACTTTAAAGAATGTAGACATGGCAGGCAGAAAAAGTGTAAAAAGCAAAATAAAATCAAATCACTTTTAAAGCTTATAATTAAAATATATTCCTAAACCCAATCTTAACGCTAAATAAAATATAAACCAAATACAATCCTTAAAAATCACCTAATATTCTACCTTAGCCCAACCAAGCTAAATTATGCCAATAGAAATCTACTGATGCGATTAGAACTAAAATTATGCCGACTCACCTTCTTACACTCTGTCACTGTAATAACCCCAACTCTAACTTTCAACGCACGAACGTGTTTCTCCATAGAAATCAATTAGCTGTTATGGGACATAGAAATACATTATTTGACAGTTTCCTATGTGGCAACAACTTAGGCTATTTCCTATACAGCCCTAAACAGCACTAACAGCCCTGTTAGATGTTTTCTCCAGTGCCTTCACGTCTAGCTATGATATAACTTAAACCTAAATCATCTAGATATATTCTCCAGTAAACTTGACGTCTAGCTATGATATTCCAAAACTAAATCATCTAGATATTTTCTTCTAAAATCCTTACCGATAAAAAAATAATTCTTTCAAAGACCAAAATTTTAAAACATTTTCATCAACGACACCAATGATAATCATAAAGATAAACACAGTCTGCAGTTTATTGTCATGAAAAGTTGTGTTAGTTTCACGATAGATTTGAACTCTGTTTCACGGGCTAACGATAGATTTGAACTCTAACTTGTGTCAGGTTAACGATAGATTTGAACTCTAACTTGTGTCAGGTTAACGATAGATTTGAACTCTAACTTGTGTCAGGTTAACGATAGATTTGAACTCTAACTTGTGTCAGGTTAACGATAGATTTGAACTCTAACTTGTGTCAGGTTAACGATAGATTTGAACTCTAACTTGTGTCAGGTTAACGATAGATTTGAACTCTAACTTGTGTCAGGTTAACGATAGATTTGAACTCTTACTTGTGTCCGAATAACGATAGATTTGAACTGTAACTTGTGTCATGTCAACGATAGATTTGAACTCTAACTGCGACTCAACTTCTAACTTCTACAATCTCGCCAGCCACCGCCCATCTAAAAAAAAAAATGGCATTCAAACTTCTAAATATAAAAGGTGCCAGCACTTTTCCATCAAAACATTCCACACCAGATACTCCTTTTGATCTTCGTCCAACAGCCGTTGTAGTAGTTCTGGAACTATTCCAGACCCTAAGCAAAAAGTAAACAAAATAATAACTCTAACATTACCCGTCTAAAATCTGCATGAAAAACTCTAACATTACCTGTCTAAAATCTGCATGAAAAACTCTAACATTACCCGTCTAAAATCTGCATGAAAAACTAACATTACCCGTCTAAAATCTGCATGGAAAACTCTAACATTACCTGTCTAAAATCTGCATGGAAAACTCTAACATTACCTGTCTAAAATCTGCATGGAAAACTCTAATATTACCCGTCTAAAATCTGCATGAAAAACTCTAACATTACCCGTCTAAAATCTGCATGAAAAACTAACATTACCCGTCTAAAATCTGCATGGAAAACTCTAACATTACCTGTCTAAAATCTGCATGGAAAACTCTAACATTACCTGTCTAAAATCTGCATGGAAAACTCTAACATTACCTGTCTAAAATCTGCATGGAAAACTCTAACATTACCTGTCTAAAATCTGCATGGAAAACTCTAATATTACCCGTCTAAAATCTGCATGAAAAACTCTAACATTACCCGTCTAAAATCTGCATGAAAAACTAACATTACCCGTCTAAATGCTGCATGGAAAACTCTAACATTACCTGTCTAAAATCTGCATGGAAAACTCTAACATTACCTGTCTAAAATCTGCATGGAAAACTCTAATATTACCCGTCTAAAATCTGCATGAAAAACTCTAACATTACCCGTCTAAAATCTGCATGAAAAACTAACATTACCCGTCTAGAATCTGCATGGAAAACTCTAACATTACCTGTCTAAAATCTGCATGGAAAACTCTAACATTACCTGTCTAAAATCTGCATGGAAAACTCTAATATTACCCGTCTAAAATCTGCATGAAAAACTCTAACATTACCCGTCTAAAATCTGCATGAAAAACTAACATTACCCGTCTAAAATCTGCATGGAAAACTCTAACATTACCTGTCTAAAATCTGCATGGAAAACTCTAACATTACCTGTCTAAAATCTGCATGGAAAACTCTAACATTACCCGTCTAAAATCTGCATGAAAAACTCTAACATTACCCGTCTAAAATCTGCATGAAAAACTCTAACATTAACCGCCCAAACTCAGTTGTACCCTGAATGTACGTTATCGAAGTTGATATTTTTTATTTCAAGTTTTTTTTAGTTCGCATTGTGGGTAGGTGTTCTTGTAGGTAACATGGAGGTAAAATTTTTAATACGGCGGTCATTAGTCATTCTTTGATTAGATTAGTCATGAAAATTTTATTTTAAGATTAAAAGTGGCGATATATCCGGATTAAGATTATCGCTAGATTAGACAGGTGGGCAGGTGTTTACGGATGTTTTCACACCTGAGGGTTGACCAGAGGCCCTAACAAGGGGCAGGCAAATGTCGTTCATCATGGACAACAACCAGAATAGTCTCGAATGGTTCATTCAACATTTTTTTTTAAAAATCGTGTGCGGTGTTGTTGAAATAAAGATGATATTTTTGTCAGACCTAACTGAAGATGGGATGTTTTGGATGTTTTTAGTATTTTCGGTAACTAAAAAAAAAAAACCCAGATTATTTTTTTTTATATTATCACTGAAAATGTAAATAAACATGGCATAACTAGGTCATGTGGTTTAAGAAAGTATAATTTCATTTTGTATACCAATATAGAAAAGAATTTTTTTTATTTTCTTTTTTTTCAATGCATTTAAAAACTTGTTATTATAAACGTTTTCATAGTTGTTTTATTTATTTAAATATTCTGTTGTCGCTGTAATCGTTTGGTGACTTACTATAAATATAATTTACGAGCCGACCCGTAGCGTATCATACGCCGCTATTTAGTTGTTTTATTTTCTACTTTTCAGTAATTCATAATTTGTAAATTCGACAGTACAAATGCTGCCACTGAAAATATTTGCTTTAAAACACTAACCCCCCCCCCCCCACTTTCCCCTAACCCCTAACCCCACACCCCCCCCCCCCCCTCCGTGAAAGCAGCCTCCTCTTAGTTATTTCTTAGTTACCTCCTGTAAGTTTAAAATCGAACTAAATTATCTGCCCCTAATAGAAACCCGGCTGTACGGCTCTTCGATTTGTAAACATTTAGCTTTGTAAAAATTTAGAGTGAACACCGCTCACCAGACAATGTTGGGGTGGGGTGGGGGGTGGTAGTGATAGTGATAGAGAGAAAGAGAGGGGACTGCAAGGAGGCGCTTGCAGCTTGTTTTCTAACTGATCCCAGAAGAGAATTATATATATAGATTGTAGCTGTAGTTGTATTTTTCCTAATGTTGAGACTGTTCTATCTCTTCACCAGGTTGTCCAGGAATATGAGAGGGCTGTTATTTTCAGGCTGGGTCGGTTACTGCCAGGCGGCGCTAAAGGCCCAGGTAAGTCATGTCTGCACGTGCATGTATGGCTACTCACGCACACACACGCACACAGATACCAACACCCACACATAGACACTCACACACAGACACTCTCACACACACAGACACTCTCACACACAGAGAGTCAACCCTATAAAAAAGGCGTCGCTACACCCCCCACACACCCCCCCCCCCCCTTCCTTGACTTCCTAAATGTGCCCTCAGTTTCGTCCTGCCTGCCAGTTAAATTGTAGTGACACTCTTGGTTATTGTCCCCTTATCTAAATCTATAATTGCATTACTGATACTGTTACACATATAAGTGATCTAACATAGAACCAAATAATAATATTTCAAAAATCATTTTCACATTGCTATCTCTTTGAGTAATTTATTTTAAATGCACACAAATGTATGTCTATTGTTAATAGATTGATTACAAATAGAGATAGTGGTGTAATTTAATGTTCCTTATATTTTAACAAATAAACAAATTTGGTACTCTTTTATATGCCGTTAATATGCTTTTAATGTGCCGTTAATAAGCTTTCTATATGTGTCTCTTGCAGGAATATTTTTCGTGATGCCTTGTATTGAGGAGTATACTAAAGTGGATCTCCGTACCGTGTCGTTTGATGTCCCCCCACAGGAGGTAAGTGAGGGGGGTGGGGCTGAAACCAGGTGTGGGTGTATGTGACGTGTGGGGGATGTTGTGTGTGGGGCTGTTTATGTGTGAGAGAAAATGTGGGGGAGGTGTTAGGGTGGATGTAATATTTGACGTTCGTGTGTTTGTGAAGCGTGCTCTTGTGTAGAATGTGTTTGTTGTACGTTGTTTGCTAGTGTGGGATAGTTACACATATGTGTAGGTGTGTGGGCTAGTGACACATGTGTGTTGGTGTGTGGGCTAGTGACACATTTGTGTAAGTGTGTGGGCTCGTGACACATATGTGTTATACATATAAGTGTGTGTGTCCACAAGTGATATATATGTTTACTTATTCGATTTTGACCTTTGATGTAACTTATATTTATGATCCATCTTCCATTCGCTCTCACTATCTCACCATGAAATCCGATCTACTTACATCAAAACTCGAACATCAAAACTTTTCAACAGCTACCCTAAGCGCTTTAACGAACATCATTTGCTCTCCTTACTTAATATTACCTAAAGCGTATACTCGACATTACTTCAACCCTCTTACTTATTATAAATACAAGCGTATTACTTAATATTACTTCATGCGCATTACATAATACTCTTAAATGAACTGTTCAAACGTATCTACTGATCGACTCCGGACAGTCTAGAATTACTTATAGACTAAACTGCTTGAAAATTTTACAATACAATCTCGAGGCTACACAACACCAGCCACGTTAGATGTATGTGTTGTTGTTCTTGACGCCCAATGTTGTGATGACGTTTCCAGTCCTGACGCCCAATAACTCAACTGGAACAAGGGCTACAACCCACCCTAGCCCTCTGGCTACTCACGCTAATCAAACACTGACTCACCTGCATAAAAATGATAAAGCACACATTTATGTCAGAACTATTTATTTCAGCACAATGTTTGTTGATACTGTTGCTACAGTAACATATTTTTCTTCTTATTTTTTTTATTCCTCCATTCACACTGAAATACTTCTGGCATCTGTGTGTTGATTCTTACATCATCTCAACAAATGACCGTTTCCGTAATAGACATAAACATAAACACCAACATAAACGTAAACGTAAACATAAACGTAAGCTTCTTATTTTGTGTGCGGCGGCTGATAGGGTATAAAAAAAAAAAAAACTCGTTAATTAAAACGCGGACTTCTTTTTGTGATTTTAATGAGGTGTTTTAAAATAGTTACCCACTCATCTATGAAAACAGTCGCGCTTGAATTGTAACGTATTAGTTAGTGTCGTTTTATCTCGTTGTGAATGTTGTCTACTCACAAAAACCCTGTACTTCATCCACACCGTACAACAACAGCTTAAATCCTCCAGCCTTATACTATAAATCTACGCCATAAAAAAGTTCACAATTCCGCTTCACAACTAGGCACATTTTACTCTTTATTTAAATAGTAACTGTGTCTTAACCAAACATCACATACACAACATACAAATACATCATCTTAGATACATCTGTAAAAACATAATACTAGGATCCACAACTGCTACTCTCGATAACCATAATTGCTCACATAACCCCCCCCCCCCCCACAACTGCACAACCTACAACTACACAACCCACAACCACACGCCCAAACACCCCCCCCCCCTCCCACTACTACACCCCACAACCAAACCCCAAAACCACACCCCACAACCACAACCACACCTCACAACCACACCCCACAACCACAGCACACCCCACAACCACAACCACACCCCAAAACCACAGCACACCCCACAACCACAACCACACCCCACAATCACACCCCACAACTTCATCCCAAAGTAATGCGCGTTACTCTGCTAATGCCAAAATACATCCTTCTGTTGTCCACTAAATGAGCCGTCCATTTCTCGTGCACCAAATGAGCCGTCCATCCGGCTCCCACAAAATCAGCCGTCCACCCTGGACCCATGACAACCCCCCCCCCCCCCCAACAAGAAGCTGCCACCGTTGCCGACCCTCGAGGAAAATGTCCTCAGGAAATTACCGCCCTCTTACATCCCCACATATTAGCGTTCAGGCTCTTCTTTCTTTATTTAACCCTTGACCCCAAAACTTAACAAAACCAAATAATCCACCCAGATTTGGCGTGTCGATGTCTTAGAAAAAAACGGTGGAGAAGTTTACAAGTTTGTATCCAGTTGACCTTAGGACGCCATTAAAGATGGCCATCGTCAAAATAATTTTCTTTGTCTATTAAAAAAAAAAGAAAAAAAGAATGTCTTCTTTTTCTTTACCGTGTTGATGTGAGGTCTTACTTTCGTCATTCGAAAATTAGAGCCGCTCTTGTCACTCAGAAAGTTTAGTGGCAACAGCTGACTAGCATTCTAGATTGCTTATCTCCCATCTCAGGACTAGAGAATCTAATTAAAATTGAACACCCACCGCATATTTCTATTTCCGATGTAAAGACAGGATCACCAGGCTTCACAAAATCACTCGTTGAACTCCCTATAATATCACTTAAAAGATGTCCGAAATTTATTGATTAAAACTTTTCTGGAGAACAGGAAGTGGTTGAAATCATGTGTTGGAGATCGATATCATAGTTGATTTACATAAATCAATAAGTTTGTGGTCACTCGACCCTCGTCAGACCACCGCCTTGACCAAACAATGGCAGACAAATCAATGGTCCTGCCTGCTTAGTCATCTCCTGCTAAATCAGCTCTAGCTAAATCTGCTCTAGCTAAATCATCTTTAGCTAAATCATCTTTAGCTAAATCATCTTTAGCTAAATCAGCTATAGCTAAATCATCGCGAGCTAAATCATCTTTAGCTAAATCATCTTTAGCTAAATCATCTTTAGCTAAATCAGCTTTAGCTAAATAATCTTTAGCTAAATAATCTTTAGCTAAATCAGCTATAGCTAAATCATCTTTAGCTAAATCAGCTGTAGCTAAATCATCGCGAGCTAGTTCATCTATAGCTAGTTTATCACTAGCTAGGACATGTTTAGCTAGTTAATAGCTAGTTAAGTCAACCCTAGCTAACTAATATCTAGCTATGTCATCTTTAGCTGAATCATGTTTAGCTAAATCATCTTTAGCTAAATCATCTTTAGCTGAGTCATCTTTAGCTAAATCAGCTCTAAGTCAATTCTAGCTAATCAATCTCCAGCTAAATCATGTGTAGATAAGTAATCGCTAGCTAAGTAATCCCAGCTAGTTCATCTCTAGATAAGTCATCTCTAGCTAAGTCATGCCAAATTAAGGCATCTCTAGCTAATTCATCTCTAGCTAAAGTCATCATTAACTAAGTCATCTCTACCAATCATCGACTCATTATTTCCCTTTATACCAAATCTGAACACTTTAAAAAAAAAAACCTCATCAGAACAAATGACACAATTTATCTTTATATCACTAAAACTACTATACGACACTTGCGTTGTTAAAACCAAACAACTGAATGTAACTTGTAAAGCTAGAGGTAAACATGTCTGGCAGTGTTTGCCAACTCTCACGCCACTACCAGCCTAGTGCCATAGCAGTGGCAGCTGGAGTAGTTTCTCCAGCTCCTGAACTCTGGCACTCTAAGCTCTGATTTCCTGGCCCAGCTCCCAGCACATCAGAGATGTTACGTCATCACAACTGACGCAACACGAGAATGATGACGTGTTAATCGAATCGTGCTTCAAACAAATTCTGGGGTCAAAGATGGCATGTGTTGAAAATGGTGCCATTTCACCTGTAAATTAAAAAAAAAAGTACATTCAATTTCAGTTTCTTTCTAGATGTATTTTTTATGCAAGTTTACAGTGTGTTTTGAGAATATTTTTGTAGTTCTGCCAAGTTCACAGCTATAAAAACAGATTTTTAGAGTCTGAATTAGTTACAAACATAAATAACAATGTGTTTATCATTCTGTTGGCTACTTGCTGAACATTGCAGCATGTGAATACAGACAATTATGTTGTCTATATGCATATATATATATATATATATATATATATATATATATATATATATGTATGTATATATATATATGTATGTATATATATATATATATATATATATATATATATATATATATATATATATATATATATATATATATATATATATATATATATATATGTGTGTGTGTGTGTGTGTGTGTGTGTGTGTTTGTGTATTTGTGTTGGTGTGTCCTTTCTTCTAGTAGACCGTAGCCTTACCGGTTTTATCCAATCTCACCTAATAGATTTTCTTTTATCCTCAAGTCCTCTATATACCTCTGTATATTAATCTTTATTACACCACTGGGAAAACACATATCAGAAAGGGAAAGTGTACAATACATGATAGCTCCACGTTTCACAGCCAAAAAAAATCTATAAATAGATCCCTACTTTTTTTTTTTAAATCAGAGAGTAACCATCTAAACCACAAAGAAGAAAACGAGCGATGTATATTTAATGATAGGTCGAGAGTGGTAGCGCTATAAACACGGATCGCTCATGACACAAACCATTCTTGTTTACTCTCCAGAGCGCTATAAAAATACCCCTGGAATAACACTCCGCCAAAAATAGTCCCGCTCATATCCATACGCTCTTATTATCCCCAAACAACGGGGGCATCACGGGAACTTGCTGGTAGAAATAAACAAACATCGGCTGTGATTTTTGGTGTCGTTTGGAGATTTTTGGAGAAGAAAGGTGCATGTTTTTATAACACGGGGGAAAACCTATTTGTTGTTGAAATCTGTTGGATTGTTTGTTTTTCCTTTCTTATATGCGAAAAAATAAGTCAATTGCGATCAGTGTTGCTACCAGACATTTTTCTCCGTGGGTGGGGGGGGGGGGGGGGGGGGGGGGGGGCGGACTAAAATTTTCGAGGGCAGGGTGGCGGAAGAGATGCCTGGAAGAAACTCTGGTTGCGAACGATTCATTTGCCGATCTTAGCTAGGTTATAACCCCCAGTTAGACGTCTTGAAGGTCTAGTTTGCATTGATACATCTTAAAAGTTGAGTTCGTCTGAAAATACTTGAAAATATAGTTAGCCTAAATATAATTTGAAAGTCTAGATAATCGATTGCAACGTAAAAGTCTGGTTAGCCTGTATATATCGTGAATATAACGTGTAGTTCTAGATAACCTGAATGTCACGACCAGAGGCGAGGGGCGGGGGGTGCGGAGCGCACCGGGTGACACCATTTAGGGGGGTGACTCAAAGGCTAAAAATAGTAAAATATATAGAGAAAAATTCGAGGGGGTTGCAAATCGAAAGTACGAGGGGGGGGGGGTGCAAAAGGAAAATTGAAAGTTTGTCCCTGGGAAGAGTCGCTACGCCTCTAAGGGGGTGACACCATTAAGTGCCGCACCGGGTGACACCCGACCTCGCTACGCCACTGGTCACGACAAGTCTAGATATATAACGTATAAGTCAAGACAGTCTGTATATGACTTGAAAGACTCACCCGATTTACTTAAAATAGTTCTTGTACTGGACTGAAACTAAACACCGAAACTAATGTAAACCGGTTGTCTGGTTCGTATTGGTGTAATAGAAACGGCTGACTAATGGCGACACGAAAATCATTTCTACAACTGAAACATATTCCATAATGGCCGACATTTTGGCTCTAACAGAAGGAGAAGGACATTTGTTTTAAAATCTCCTTTTTTTTCTTGAATTCTTCTTACACAACACACACACATGATCACACTTTTCTCTCAAACGTCATCAACTACAGTTCGGCCCCTCTCCACACACCACACTACTGTGATCCCCCCCCCCCCCACCACACAGACTTTACAACACACTACTGTGATCCATTACCCACACCCATCAGCCCATGCCACGCCCCTCAACCCATCCCCACCTCCCACCAACCCCCCTCCCACCCCTTCAACACCCTGTTTTGCCCTATTCTCAGCCTCTATACTAACACTGTTATTAGCACCCCATCCATTAGTGCCTCATCCGTCAATTCCTCAATACACAGTTCTACTCTAGCCCTCCTCAATACACAGTTCTACTCTAGCCCTCCTCAATACACAGTTCTACTCTAGCCTACACGTTTACCATCATTATTTCAGCGCATATTCAGGTCCAACCAACCAGTCGGTCATTGCACTCTAACACATCCCCCCACCCCCACTTCTAACATTCCCCAACCCCTCACCACCGCTCGCACACTCTCCCACCCCTCATTACCTACACACTCCCCACCCCTCCCCACTACCTCTAACACACTCACCCTCCCCTCTACCTCTCCCCACCCCTCACCTCTACATATTTCCACCCTTCACAACCTCTAACTACCCCTCTCCACCCTCTACATCTCTCCACCCTTCTTCATCTATCCACCCCTCACCTCCTCTCACCTTCTCTCCCCACCCCCAGGTACTGACGCGAGACAGCGTCACCGTGTCTGTCGACGCCGTCGTCTACTACCTCTCCCCACCCCTCTACCTCTCTCCACCCCTCACCTCCTCTTCTCTCCCCACCCCTCACCTCACCTCCTCTTCTCTCCCCACCCCTCTACCTCTCCCCACCCCTCACCTCACCTCCTCTTCTCTCCCCACCCCTCTACCTCTCCCCACCCCTCTACACCTCCCCACCCCTCACCTCACCTCCTCTTCTCTCCCCACCCCTCTACCTCTCCCCACCCCTCTACATCTCCCCACCCCCTCACCTCCTCTTCTCTCCCCACCCCTCTACCTCTCCCCACCCCTCTACACCTCTCCACTCCTCACCTCACCTCTTCTCTCCCCACCCCTCTACCTCTCCCCACCCCTCACCTCACCTCCTCTTCTCTCCCCACCCCTCTACCTCTCCCCACCCCTCACCTCACCTCCTCTTCTCTCCCCACCCCTCTACCTCTCCCCACCCCTCTACATCTCCCCACCCCTCACCTCCTCTTCTCTCCCCACCCCTCTACCTCTCCCCACCCCTCTACACCTCTCCACCCCTCACCTCACCTCCTCTTCTCTCCTCACCCCTCTACCTCTCCCCACCCCTCACCTCACCTCCTCTTCTCTCCCCACCCCTCTACCTCTCCCCACCCCTCTACACCTCTCCACCCCTCACCTCACCTCCTCTTCTCTCCCCACCCCTCTACACCTCTCCACCCCTCACCTCACCTCCTCTTCTCTCCCCACCCCTCTACCTCTCCCCACCCCTCACCTCACCTCCTCTTCTCTCCCCACCCCTAACCTCCTCTTCTCTCCCCACCCCCAGGTACTGACCCGAGACAGTGTCACCGTATCTGTTGACGCCGTCGTCTACTACCGAATCTCCAGCCCGACTGTGTCGGTGGCCAACGTGGAGAACGCGGCCAACTCCACCCAGCTGTTGGCCCAGACCACCCTCAGGAACGTGCTGGGTACCCAGAATCTGGCTGAGATCCTCTCCAACAGGGAGCACATCAGCGAACAGATGCAGGTGAGGGGTACTCACGGTTAAGGTTTTAGATGCGTTGACAGGTCGGTTGCTGCAGGCTAGTCTAGGGGGTGCAGGGGAGGTTGGTATAGGCTAGTCTAGGGGGTGCAGTGGAGGTTGGTATAGGCGAGTCTAGGGGGTGCTAGGGGAGGTTGGTTTAGGCTAGTCTAGGGGGTGCAGTGGAGGTTGGTATAGGCGAGTTAGGGGGTGCAGGGGGGGGGTTGGTATAGGCGAGTCTAGGGGGTGCAGTGGAGGTTGGTATAGGCGAGTCTAGGGGGTGCTAGGGGAGGTTGGTATAGGCTAGTCTAGGGGGTGCAGGGGGAGGTTGGTATAGGCTAGTCTAGTGGATGCAGGGGGAGGTTGGTATAGGCGAGTCTAGGGGGTGCAGGGGAGGTTGGTATAGGCGAGTCTAGGGGGTGCTAGGGGAGGTTGGTATAGGCGAGTCTAGTGGGTGCAGGGGGAGGTTGGTATAGGCTAGTCTAGGGGGTGCAGGGGGAGGTTGGTATAGGGGTGCGGGGGGAGGGTGGTATAGGCGAGTCTAGGGGTGCAGGGGGAGGTTGGTATAGGCTAGTCTAGGGGGTGCAGGGGGAGGTTGGTATAGGCGAGTCTAGGGGGTGCGGGGGGAGGTTGGTATAGGCTAGTCTAGGGGTGCAGGGGGAGGTTGGTATAGGGGTGCGGGGGGAGGGTGGTATAGGCGAGTCTAGGGGTGCAGGGGGAGGTTGGTATAGGCTAGTCTAGGGGGTGCAGGGGGAGGTTGGTATATGCTAGTCTATGGGGTGCAGTGGGAGGTTGGTACGCTTTACCTAGGTAATGTCCCATTAAGTAGGGAGAAGGTTAGTTTGCAGATCCAGGGTTACTCACTTTAAAGGTTTTAGATTCACTGAAATCACAGGCGGATCTAGGGGGTGTTCTCACGCCACGAACTCTCACAATTGACTGAGACTGCCATAAAAATAGATCTTAACATAAAGTTGCAAGTCTACTGATAGTAAACTATAAACTAATATAACATTTTAATATCACCACTTACATTATCCCAAATTAATAACCTCTCCCACTGTAATTCCTGACTCTGACATGTAACCCAATATAACAGCTTTACTAACAACAAACCTAAGCTATGGATTATGACATTTTCAACTATATTGTACTGTAAAGTTGTTGACTGTGTGACCTATTTTCAGAATGTTCTAGATGATGCAACAGACAAGTGGGGCATCAAGGTCGAGCGAGTCGAAATGTGAGTACTCACGCTGAGAAAACAATTTGTTCATGTTTGTGGGTGGGACAAGTGTAGGGCTGATGTAGAGAAACACAGATGGTGATGTGGTGATGTGGTGATGTGGTGATGTGTTGATGTGGTGATGTGGTAATGTTGTGATGTGCTGATGTGGTGATGTGTTGATGTGGTGATGTGTTGATGTGGTGATGTGTTTATGTGGTGATGTGGTGATGTGGTGATGTAGTGATGTGTCGATGTGGTGATGTGTTGATGTGTTGATGTGGTGATGTGGTGATGTGGTGATGTGTTGATGTTGTGATGTGTTGATGTGGTGATGTGTTGATGTGGTGATGTGCTGATGTGGTGATGTGGTGATGTGGTGATGTGGTGATGTGGTGATGTGTTGATGTGGTGATGTGGTGATGTGTTGATGTGGTGATGTGTTGATGTGGTGATGTGTTGATGTGGTGATGTGTTGATGTGGTGATGTGTTGATGTGGTGATGTGGTGATGTGTTGATGTGTTGATGTGGTGATGTGTTGATGTGGTGATGTGGTGATGTGTTGATGTGGTGATGTGGTGATGTGTTGATGTGGTGATGTGTTGATGTGGTGATGTGTTGATGTGTTGATGTGTTGATGTGGTGATGTGTTGATGTGTTGATGTGGTGATGTGTTAATGTGTTGATGTGGTAATGTGTTGATGTGGTGATGTGTTGATGTGTTGATGTGGTGATGTGGTAATGTGTTGATGTGGTGATGTGTTGATGTGCTGATGTGTTGATGTGGTGATGCGTTGATGTAGTGATGCGTTGATGTAGTAATGTGTTGATGTGCTGACACAACAATGGAATTGTGCTGTCGTCTACGTTACGACCACCACATGCTTATGTTGTTGGTCTGTGGAAAAATGAATTCTTGTATACACAGTAGCCAATACGCTGACCACATAGCTCTGGACAAAACGTGTTACACGGACCATATACTTCCAGACAATAAATGGTTATTGTTTTGGTATTTCAGCAAAGATGTCCGGTTGCCCATATCTATTGTTATTGTTTTTGTATTTCAGCAAAGATGTCCGATTGCCCATATCTATTTTTATTGTTTTTGTATTTCAGCAAAGATGTCCGATTGCCCATATATCTGGACAATAAATGTTTTGTTTTTGTATTTCAGCAAAGATGTCCGATTGCCCATATATCTGGACAATAAATGTTTTGTTTTTGTATTTCAGCAAAGATGTCCGGTTGCCCACACAACTCCAGAGGGCGATGGCCGCAGAGGCTGAGGCTGCTCGTGATGCCAGGGCTAAGGTGAGGGGTGTGTGGGGGTGTACTGGTGGTGTAAGGTGTACTGGGGGTGTGGGGTGTACTGGGGTGTGTGGGGGTGTACTGGGGTGTGTGGTTGTACTGGGAGGTGTGGGGGTGTACTGGGGTGTGTGGTGTACTTGTGTGTGGGGGTGTACTGGGTGTGTGGGGGTGTACTGGGTGTGTGGGGGTGTACTGGGTGTGTGGGGGTGTACTGGGGTGTGTGGGGGTGTACTGGGGTGTGTGGTTGTACTGTGAGGTGTGGGGGTGTACTGGGGTGTGTGATGTACTTGTGTGTGGGGGTGTACTGGGTGTGTGGGGGTGTACTGGGTGTGTGGGGGTGTACTGGGGTGTGTGGGGGTGTACTGAGGTGTGGGGGTGTACTGGGGTGTGTGGTGTACTTGTGTGTGGGGGTGTACTGGGTGTGTGGGGGTGTACTGGGTGTGTGGGGGTGTACTGGGTGTGTGGGGGTGTACGGGGGTGTGTGGGGGTGTACTGAGGTGTGGGGGTGTACTGGGGTGTGTGGTGTACTTGTGTGTGGCGGTGTACTGGGTGTGTGGGGGTGTACTGGGTGTGTGGGGGTGTACTGGGGTGTGTGGGGGTGTACTGAGGTGTGGGGGTGCACTGGGGTGTGTGGTGTACTTGTGTGTGGCGGTGTACTGGGTGTGTGGGGGTGTACTGGGTGTGTGGGGGTGTACTGGGGTGTGTGGGGGTGTACTGGGGTGTGTGGGGGTGTACTGAGGTGTGGGGGTGCACTGGGGTGTGTTGAGGGCGTACTGGAATGTGGGGTGTACTGGGGTGCGTGGGTGTGTACTGGGGTGTGTGGTGTACTGGGGGTGTGGGGTTATACAGGTAAGTGTGGGTGTGTACTGGGAGGTGTGGGGGTGTAGTGGGGTGTATGGGGGTGTACTGGTGTGTGTGTGGGTGGGGGGTAGTGGGAGTGTGTGGTGTATTGGGTATGTGGGTTTACTGCGGTGTGTGGGGTGTACTTGGAGATGTGGGGGTGTACTGGGAGGTGTGAGGGTGTGCTGGGGTGTACTGGGGTGTGTTGAGGGCGTACTAGGGGTGCAGTACAGAAGGTGGTGAATCTTGGGTGACCATGTGTTGTACAGTTTGCTGTGTGGGTAATAGTCCTACTGTAAGTTGTTTTTTAGTTGGGGGTTGTAGTGGGTGATATTTGTTCCTGGGAGATGTAAACAGTAGAATGTTGTGCCGGCACGGTGGAGGGTTGTGGGGTTCGTGCGAGTCTTTGTGTTCGGTGGGGTTATTTCTTTACTAATAGATTTTAAGAAAAGGTTTTCGTACTGTAGTATTTGTAGGTTGCATGTGTCTGATAAAAATATTGTATGGCTAAAAGGCGTAAAGGGGAGGTTAAATTAAAACTTGGAAATGTAATGGTGGATTTGAGCATGTGTAACCGGAAATGTAATGGTGGATTTGAGCATGTGTAACCGTTATCTTCAGAAAGTTTGGAGATCTTGCAATAAGTAATACAATTCAGAAATAAAGAGTCCAATTCGATTCGTGACATGATGAGATATGAGTTAGGATAAGTATGAACATGACCTCTAGGTACTGTTCTTTAGCTTTTCCTTTAAATCCCGCATTTATCTCAAGAGACTGACAAAATTGGTTCATCCCAAAGCATAATAACGATTTTTTTCTGTAATTTTAATCGCTATTTTCGGAAATCGTTTAACAGTTTCTTTTTAAATAGTAAAAATAAACCATTAAAAAAAACTGAAAGAAAAATGAAGAAAAAAAACATCACAAGAAAAAAAAATTCAAATCGCCCGTTTCTATAGTAACGGACTGGCGTTTATATCAACCAATCGATTTTAACAGTGTGGTGCCGAAACAGCTTTTTCCGCTGAAGTTCGGTGCGTAATTGAGTGGAGCGTGCCGGGCATATTGTCTGGGAATTCTGATATTCAATGGATCAAATAATCATGGGACCAACAATACAATAGACAAGTAATGCCTGGCATATTGTCTGGGAATTCTGATATTCAATTGGTCAACTGATCATGGGGCCAACATTACATCAAACAAGTAATGCCGGGCATATTGTCTGGGAATTCTGATATTCAATGAATCAAGTGATCATGGGCCCAACAATACAACAGACGCATAATGTCAGGAATATTGTCTGGGAATTCTGATATTCAATGGATCAAATGATCATGGGGCCAACAATACAACAGACAAGTAATGCTGGGCATATTGTCTGGGAATTCTGATATTCAAATGATAATGGAGCCGACAATACAACAGACAAATAATGTGAAGTCTGATAGCTAGTAATCAACTAAGCTTTACACCAACACAACAGACATATAATGTCAAGTCTGATAGCTAGTAATATACTAAGCTTTACACCAACACAACAGACAAATAATGTCAAGTCTGATAGCTAGTAATCAACTAAGCTTTACACCAACACAACAGACAAATAATGTCAAGTCTGATAGCTAGTAATCAACTAAGCTTTACACCAACACAACAGACATATAATGTGAAGTCTGATAGCAAGTAATCAACTAAGCTTTACACCAACACAACAGACAAATAATGTCAAGTCTGATAGCTAGTAATCAACTAAGCTTTACACCAACACAACAGACAAATAATGTCAAGTCTGATAGCTAGTAATCAACTAAGCTTTACACCAACACAACAGACAAATAATGTCAAGTATGATAGCTAGTAATCAACTAAGCTTTACACCAACACAACAGACAAATAATGTCAAGTATGATAGCTAGTAATCAACTAAGCTTTACACCAACACAACAGACAAATAATGTCAAGTATGATAGCTAGTAATCAACTAAGCTTTACACCAACACAACAGACAAATAATGTCAAGTATGATAGCTAGTAATCAACTAAGCTTTACACCAACACAACAGACAAATAATGTCAAGTCTGATAGCTAGTAATCAACTAAGCTTTACACCAACACAACAGACAAATAATGTCAAGTATGATAGCTAGTAATCAACTAGGCTTTACACCAACACAACAGACAAATAATGTCAAGTATGATAGCTAGTAATCAACTAAGCTTTACACCAACACAACAGACAAATAATGTCAAGTATGATAGCTAGTAATCAACTAAGCTTTACACCAACACAACAGACAAATAATGTCAAGTATGATAGCTAGTAATCAACTAAGCTTTACACCAACACAACAGACAAATAATGTCAAGTATGATAGCTAGTAATCAACTAAGCTTTACACCAACACAACAGACAAATAATGTCAAGTATGATAGCTAGTAATCAACTAAGCTTTACACCAACACAACAGACAAATAATGTCAAGTATGATAGCTAGTAATCAACTAAGCTTTACACCAACACAACAGACAAATAATGTCAAGTATGATAGCTAGTAATCAACTAAGCTTTACACCAACACAACAGACAAATAATGTCAAGTATGATAGCTAGTAATCAACTAGGCCTTACACCAAGTCAACAACAGCAAACAGTGCTCGCTGACAACAAATGGCCGCTCATTACACATGAGTATGTACTTTTATTGTGTGATGGGGCGGGGAGGGGAGAGTAGAATTAGTGCAAGCTAGTAGTGCAGAGGGATGGGTGAGAGAAATTAGCTCCCCCTTGCAAAGATGAAAACAGTTGTATGACCCAAAAGTTGGATCACAACAAAACTAACAAATAGTCATACCGGTTGCTTAGATTTAGTAGCATTGCTCTTATCGATACTTTAACCAGAACTTTAATAAAATGCGTGATCGATATCAACCTAGTGTGAACAATCGGTTAGTACTTCGCTAAAATTGAAATTAAAAAAAAAACCAAGAGCCCACATTTCAGCAACAAGGAAAACTTGTATGAATATACCCTGGAAAAAGTTTTTGATTTAATAAGCTTTGACAAGAAAATCCAATTTTTAAGAACTAGCAACAAAGCGAAGAAGAAAAATTCATCAATAAATGAAGAGCTCTTATGTAAGGCAGACAAGCTAATGTGTAGATATAAAGCCTTATATGTCCACGTAATAGAGACATTGTATAAAGCCTTATATCCTTTCCCGTAATGGAGACAATGTATAAAAGCCTTATATGTCCACGTAAAGGAGACTATGCGCAGATATAAAGCCTTATATATTCCCGTAAAGAAGACAATCTAATGGGCAGATATAAAGCCTTATATTTCCCCATAAAGAAAACATACAAATGCGCAGATACAAAGCCGTAAACTTCCGTGTTTAATCTATTGTTAATCAGCTTTTTTTAATTAAAGATCGGATTGACCACTGGTCATCTCCTCCCTTCTCGGCTTTGATTACAAAATGTGTGAATGCTAATTAGATCTGGGGGCTGGGATTAGTTCAGGGAATCCCCACTGAGAATCAATACGTCATGTATATCTCGCTTTTTGTCGAGTTATCTCCCAGTTTGTTATGTTATCTTACAGTTTGTTGGCATATCTCCCTGTTTGGTGGCTTATATTCCTGATTGGTGGGTTATGTCCCTGTTTGGTGGGTTATGTCCTTGTTTGGTGGGTTATGTCCTTGTTTGGTGAGTTATCTCCTTGTTTTTAGCGTTTATTGTAAGTTATACGCCATATGTATATGGGAAGGAACTGTGGGTTCGTCTACCTAACCCATACATAATTTTTCTGTGTATAAAATGCCAATAGCAATTGGTCATTTGTCTCAATATTTAGCTGGGTAGCAATTTGTCATTTCTATCTAACATATAGTTGGGATAATGTTGTTGGCTGTGATTAGTTTAACGTTTGACCCAAGTAGGTTGCAGGGTCAATGATAAAAAAAATTCTACGAGTGTTGAGTGAAGAATTGAATCTTTTTCTGTCAAAATACATCCAACAAAATTCTACGAGTGTTGAAGGAAGAATTGAATCTTTTTCTGTCAAAAAACATCCAACAAAATTCCACGAGTGTTGAAGGAAGAATTGAAAGTTTTTCTGTCAAAATACATCCAAAATGATTCTACAAATCGAGCA